TTCCTTGATAGCTTTAATAACAAAATGGCCCATAAATACTTATTGGGGGCTTCCGTAATGGAAGATATGTACCTAATAATAATGATTTAAAATTCTTTAATAGTGTTATTATTTCTATTGTATTTAAAAATATTTAAAAAAGATTAATATTTAAATATTTTCCTAAGATCAATACTTTTTTAATGCTGCATTATATACGTTTAAAATTTTATTTTTAAATAGAAATATATACCAGAATGTGTAGTTTATTTTCCAGTTTTCAGATATTATATATTTGTTTTCGAAAGAAAAGGTAGATAGAGTGTCATGATTCATATCATTAAGATTTATGATGCGTGTCTTCGCCAAATAATTTGGTCGATTATTGAAAATAAATTTGCATTTTTTCAATATGGACAATATTTTTTAACTGTCTATTTTCCATCTACTAGAGTTAATACGGAACCAATACAGCAATAGCCTATTTCTTTAAAAAAGAACTTACAAAAAAAGGTTCATAATTGGCAAATATTTATATCGAGTAATAATGTCCTAGTTAACATACAGAAAAGGGACAATTTTTTTTACGGTTGTAATGTTTCTCAACAAAACATTTTTCTATGATTTTAATTCGAATACATATTATGATTTATACTGCCAAAAACGTTTTTAGTGAACAACAAATTTTAATTATACAATTAAGCGTCTAGCATTTTTCTTCCAGAACACTTTATCAACGGAGCAAGAATTTGAATAAATTGTTGCCGACGTAGCTATTAAGAGGTTTTAACTTGGGGTTTACGATCTGGATCTCCTGATAATGGTTGCCTGTAAATTCACTTTCGCTATCCGTTTAATCTCAGCATTTCCTCTACTTTCTTTTATTGATTCTGAATATTCGTTTTGCCTAAATTGAAGAAGCTAATCACGTTTTCTAAGTTTTCTTTTCTATTATTTTCATAAAAACCATGTCAACGTATCACAATGGGTTAAATTACCTGCTTTCATCCTCACCTATTATCTTTCATTGGTGTCTTGCCAATGTATACCGATAGCGCACCATTCCAAATGCACTTATAAAAAAGTATAGATACCTAATAAATCGTCAAAATTAACCATTTTGCATTACACGCACGTATACTCAAAACATATTGCACGTATTTGGGTCAGTATATAATAAGGGTCAGCATAATATGTCAGGATATTTTTACTGCGATAAATTTTTTCTTTATTTTGGAAAAATAATAAAGCTCGCTGTGTGAAGACATCGCGTGTATTTATGAACACAGACCTTAGTAGCAAGTAAAAATTAATTTCTCGCATTTGGTCGGATATTGCTTATTTATTAAAGAAAAACAATATTTCAATCGGTTCTTTTCCGGTCTCCAAAAAAACAACACTCCAATATTCAATACAGCCAAAAATAATGAATACCACCGAGCAGTTTTATTTATTTAAATTGGTTTTTATCAAGCTTAGTGATGTACCTAACTGTGAATGCTACTGATGTAATTAAGTACATTAAAATAAATTAGGTAGGTACATATGGTTTTTTTAAAGGATGATATTAAAATGGTTATGGCCCGCCTGCGTTGTCGGTATACACTGGCGAGCTACCTCGCAAGGGTAGTGAGGGATAATAAATGGTGACGAAGAAGGTAGTTAGCCCATTGTGACGAATTCAACAATAAATCAATCACGTTAGTTTCAAGAGAATCGCGTGGAGGTCGACCTGATAGCGTATATTGCTAGCAATAGGATTGCTAATATTCACTACTAACAATTCCTTCTCCCCTCGGCACATATGGGGTTATATTTAGATACATGTCTTTGTTTTCATTTTATGTGATTAGGTTTTTTTCTTTTCATTTACTTTTTTTACTAATTAAATAATTATTTGCATGATACTTGTATTTAGGTATAATTATTATTATTTCAAATGTTGAATGATATTTTTTCTTTTTTTTTTACTAAAAGAGTGTCCGACTTTTTTTTAATTATCGCCCTGTAATTTTTCAATCAATTCAGGAGTATGCGATCATTTCTTGTTCTTCTTATACTAGACAATTATTGTTTGGCGTTAAATAACTTTACATGCTTTACTTAAAGGCAGAAAGACCCAGTGTCCAGCAGTGGGTGTTAGTTAGTTGTTATACCTTAACAATTTTAAATTAATTAACATGTCTTTAATGAAATCCTCATCATAAATACTTAAATACCAACTTGTAATATACAAAGAGCTTAAAGATTTCTCTGTTGTGCGAACAGATTATAATAGTTAATTTCAAATGTTGCGATCGCGTATTTTTTTCGCCGATTTTCACTTTCATGCAAATGTGCCATTATAAAAACCCATTGACGGCTCTAGAGACAAGATTCTGCAATGAACCAGCGATTGGAGTGCTTGGCGATGTTTTCCGTGCTCATGAATAAACAATATCAATCCCTGGGCTGGTTCGTAAGCGGCGCTGTTTCCGCCGTTCGAAATTTACTTACTTATAAACAAAGATATTAGTGAATCAATAGCGAGACGTTATGTTTTTTAGGATACATTTTAAGGATATTAAATATTTTATTATATGTACTAATGGATTTCCAACGAGTAAAGTGAAATTTCTCGTAATAAATATATAGTGAGTTATGTTTTACAGGTTGAATTGAAAATAACAGTCATTAGCCGTACATAAATTTAATAATCTAATTAATTGCATAATTCGAAAGTATAAAAACGACAAAAGTCTCTCATATTAAAATAACGCTTTTGTTGTTTATCGACCCACATTTTTAAGGAAAAAATATTTAGTTTCCTGATAGAACACTCCCTAAAAAGAATGCCAATGGTTGGAATTACCCTATAAATAGAGAGAAAGGCATTGATGGTACTGGGAATTAGCGGCCATAGCTAGCAATATACCTTGTTAGATCGATTTTCACCTGGTCATCCCTAGAAACTATCGTGGTTGACTCCAGATGAATTCACTACGATAGGCTAACTGCTAGGGCCAGTGTATACCGTGTATAGTGTATACTGGAGTTACTTTTCCATTTTCTAATGTTTTTTTTCATTCTATTGTAAATAGATAAATAAATTGTAAGGCTTATGGTAAGATACAGCGAAATAAAGCCATGAATTACAATACAGTATTTATTAGGATGACAAGCTTTATATTTTATTGTTTTAATACGCCCAGCCCGTCAGACCATATATTATATGCTGTCCTGTCTCTATGCAAAACATTTTCCATCATCATTTTGTTTGAAATCACGAGATAGGGATTTACTACCATTGTGTCGTATTTATATTTATTTTCGCCTTTATGTCCTCTGTATGTGAAATATTATGTCCATAATAAATATGAAAGAAATGCCTAGTACCTGTAATAATATTAAATAAACAACATTTACTGAATACTTTCAATACATATATGACCCATTTAATTATAAAAGTAGAAACTTTATATTATTGATATCAATTTATAGAAGTTTCAAGTTTGAATATATGAAGATTCCTTAACTAACATAGGCTGGAAAAAATCCTAGGAAAGGGTAATAGATTTCATAAGGGCACGGTATATAACAAGCTTCAACTAGACAAAGTATGCAGTAAACAGTCATAACATTTAAAAGACTCTAATAACTTACAATAAAATGTACAAATTTATCGAAACATTTGAAATACCTATTGCAATTCGGATATTATGAGATATTGTATTATACAGAGGCAAAGCTAACAAAAATGTTTTAGCAAGAATAATAATGGACTCATTTACATTACTTTACATCATTAAGGCTTCAGGGTCGACGAATGAGATATGTAGTGGGACAAAAGAAAATAAATTAACTTAATCTTTAAGTGTGTATGAAAGTGCCTCCAAAATTTGTGCCGTGGACTTTAATCTATTGTTGCCATAACTCAGTTCAGGCTCTACTACGTTCCCACTCTCGTTGAGACTGTCGCAAGTTTGGATTAGCGTTGCGACGTGCGGTGACAAAATGTAGGCTTGTTGGTACTTCATTATGACGTATACCTTGGGTCCGAACTCGTATCTCAGCTCAGTCATTTCCTTTCTTATCTACTACTAGCGACCTGTCTTGGTTTCATACGGTTTTTCAAGTGACTTCAGAAAGAAGGAGGTTCTCAATTTAGATGCTTTTTTATGTTTATTACTTCATAATTTCGTCAGTTATAAACCGATTTAATTTATTTTATTATTAAAAGAATATACTTACAGATTAGTCCAATAGAAATTTTATCATAATTGGTTCGGTTGTTTAGTTTTTAAATCGAAATAACTAGTTTCTAATAAAATAATTTTGCCACACTCGAAGTCTGTTTTTATAATCTTAACTTACTTAAAAATAAAATACAATCCTGATTATGCAGTTTCTACAGGTGAAAGGATTTTTAAAATCGGATAAATTTTCTTTTTTAATTGAGTTTATCAATAAAAATATGTTTCCTCTTTATAACATTTAGACAGTACTATTACTTTAATATTATTACTTATACTGCGGTATATATATATATATATATATATATATATATATATATATAATTTTGTAAATGCGTGTAAGGCGTGGTCGATATTGACATTACCAATATATCATTAGCAGCTAGCTTCGACATTTTACATTATGTAGGTTCGTAGATTGTAATCTCTATATATGATTCTATTTCTTAATTCTAAATACTTCTTAATAAAGACATTTGTTTGGTACAGACTTCTTTTTACATTATCCAATAAATAATCTTTTTCAAAATCTCTGTTTATTTCAAACTAAACTGCTACAATACAAATTGAGTTTTTTCGACGAAATAAGATAAATATTTAGTGGAAAACCTTTCTTTGATATCACTTTTCATTGAAAGTACGAAGCGAATCAAAGTACAAAGTAAAGAAGTGTCTTCGTTTCCGGCTCGGAGCTATTGTGGCAAGGAAATAGGAACTAAAAATGTGAATAAAGCTATGTCTCCCCTTGTCGTTTGCACTGAGTGAGGTCGGGTCAATAAAAAATCCGAACCCAATTTAACATTGTATAAATAATATATATAAATATACAAATATTATTTCCATGCAATGACATTATAATCAATCACATAAAACTTTTTAATAATTTGCAACGTGTTTTTAAACAACACATTTTATGAACATTATTATTAGTAAACTAAGAACAATGCTTTGATTATTAAAGGAAAAAGCTCCATTCTTATCATTACAAAGATCAGAATGACAAATAGAGCAGGATTTATATTTTAGTGCAAATCCACCAAGGGAAGGGTCATCACAGGTACTGGCACAATCGCGTACTATAATAGAAGTACCTGCAAAAAAAAAAATTAATGAGGGTAATCTTTTTAGATTCTTAATGTGATTAAATTAATAATTAACAAACGCTGCATCCATGTGGTGCGTTGGGAGACTATTTATAATTAGTTGTTAGTGTTATTAATTATAAAATGGTATAAGTTTAAATTATTTTATGCATACTAAATAATAAAGTAGGTGCAAATCTAGTTTATAGATGGATTGAGGCTGTACCGTCATACTGCACTATAATTTGTTTGTGTGTAATATGAATGTACTTGTACTTGTATTACCTACTGACTTATGATTATAGTCTATTACATTAAACGTGATACTTTTCTTTGTTTTTTGTCAATGTTTTTATTGACTATTTTGGCACTTTATTTTTATTCATATATACTTTACTACGTTTTCTGGAGAGTTAAGACTTGTTATTTTTGTTACAAGAGAAGCTCGATTCGTTAATAGTAAAAAAGTATAAAAGCGATTTTTTTAAATGTCATGTTATTATCATATGACCGTTTTATTTAATACTTGAAAATATCTGGAACTACTTACCTTGACTTTGAAATTTTTTGGTAACACATGCATTATGACCTTTATGACAATACTTCACAGTTGTCCTCCTATCTGGGGCTAAACAAGTCGGATTACTGGTACTGCTACAAGCGTAGCAGATTCTGCTATTTTCCATGAACATCATTTTTGATTCGGACATTGGTACGATACCACGACCTTTTGTTGGCTCAATAAACTGTCGTTCTTCTTCAGGAGCGTTAGAGTTACTAACAGTATTTTCTATAAGGTCATTGCGATTTTTTCTTTCATTGTCCTCAAACATTTGTACGTTATTATTAAATTTTCTTGTTTGAGGTATAGTATTCTGAATATTTGACGAATCGTCTACATTCTTAGATGTATTATTATTATCATATATGTTATTATCTGAATCTATTAAAATATTCTTATCATCATTTAATTTTAAGCTTTGTTTAACATCGAGATTAGCGCCTGACCTATAAATACTATTCTGTTTAGCAAAATAACGAGATTTATGTAAATCCTTTTGGGGGATTATAGTATCTTTATTGATACATTTTATATCTTCATTGAAATCATTTTTATCAAATTTGTCTATATTATCATTATAATGAAATGGTATGATTGGGTTTGTAACATCTGATTGGTCAGAAACTTTTCCTTCTTTTTTTTCGTTAGCTTTTTTTTGATCTAATTTGAGGTTTTTAAAGGCTCCGTCTTTTGGTGAATTTTTGGATAAGTCCTCTTTATAAAATGATTGTGACGGTGATTCCATTTTTAAACTATGTTCATCAGTATCTTGTTCAGAAATATCTTTTAATGATTGATCGCCATCCCTTCTTTGTTTGTCAGAATTTTCTTCATCAAAGTCTTTGTCTTTCAGGGACTGGTAAATTAAATTATTGTTACCAGTAAAACTGTCTTGGTCAGCTATTGGAATAGGTTTGATTATTTGTTTTTTGTATGTAGGGATCCATCGTTGGTCATTTTCGTCTTTAAATGTATCTTGAGCATTTATAAACTTGCTGCAGGGTTTCACGGGTCTTCTGAAAGACCCATAATAAATATCTGGGCTAGCTTCAAATATGTGAAAGGGGTAAAATTGATTTCTTGGATTAGAATTTTTTTGGTCGACAGATTGAAAATTATAATCAGGACTATCTGTTTCAATTTGTTCACCTAAAATAAAGAAAAAAACATATGGGTATTTTTTCTTCAATTAAAAATTTCAATCAATTGTAATAGAATTATATCTTACCTGAAGAAAAATTTATATAAAATAACAGAACGAAAGCTACTTTTGTAATCATGTTGAATAAAATATTAATGTTGACGACTTTACTTTTTGAAATTTTAAATCTAACTGATGGTTTACTCTTGGTAAACAGAAATAAAATATGGGAAGATACAATGTCGAGTTGGAATTTTATCGCTAAAAGCTGTAAACCAATATCAACCTATTGTATTGTGAATATGCGCTCGACGGAAAGATATTCTAAGAAAACAATAGATGTTCTGCAATAATGGTTTTCATTGTACCATACTACCTTTTGCGATTCTCGTACTGTTGTTAAAAATAGGTTTTATTTAATACCTAAATTATGTATATATTATATTGATTTTATACTCCATCTTGCATACATTTTTGAATATAAGTCGAAATAATGTACTAAAATATTAAATATAATAAATTATACTATAAATATTTTTACACACACCTAATTAGTATAATAAAATAGCATGAAGTCACAACAAAACTAGTCAATTACGTTACGCTGTTTACTATATAAATAGCATCAATTTAGAAAGCATTAATAGCATCTCTCCTGTTAATAAATGTGTTTAAGCAAAGATTAAATTTCAACGTCTTACATTAATCTCTAGAGGCCCTATTACGAGTTTACGACTAAAATCGATGGGGCAGAAAGAGAGAAATTAGCGTTATTTATCGTCGCAACCTTTCATTAGAATGACACCTTAAATGTCTACTTATATATTGCAGAAGGATTATTTATTATCAGTTATTTCGTAGCTATTAATAATACAATAAAGAACAGTATTAGTCGCTGGTATACGTTCTCATTATTGTCCCGTGGCCTTATCTTAGCCTTGAGTGTTTTTTAGCAGAAACTGTAACGTAGGCTAGTAACTGTAACCTTGCAGGTATTTAAGCCATTTCTTCCCTAGGATTCGACGTATTGTACAACACGTTAAAGAATCAAAACACGTCAAAATAATTATTATTTCTATAATATTAAGAGCTCAGTTAGGCAACGGTAGATTGATGTGCCGAGATGTTAAGTTCGATTTTCAGTCTATACATCTAATTTATTTTAACCATTTAAAAAATTATTATGCTTCGTGCTGTGGGGGATACGTAAATCCGTTTTTCAGTAAAGTGTGTCACTTCTTTTTCTAGCTTCGTGTGTGAAAAAAGCGACATTGAACTCTTGATTCTAGAAAGCACCAAGCTTAAACAAGTAGTAGGAACATTTCTATGTGGTAATAGAGGAATACAATATTTCACAACTGAAAAAACCTAACCAACTTCTTAATTTGGTAGTTTTTGTAGGATGTTAGGTGATTTTTTATTTTTTTTAATTTGTATTTAATACAAAAATTCATAACTCTCTTACAAAATAACTTATATGATGAGTCTCTTGTAAATACAGTGAATAAGGGCTTTTGATTTTATAAACGAAAATTATAAGTTACAGTTAAGTTAAAACAAGTAAGTTACAGTTAGCGCGTGTAAAATAAATAATTACAATGTGTAACAATGAAGTCGGTTGATAAATAAATAAGTTAAATAAAACTTATTTTGCTGTATTTCATTAATTCATGATTATGAATAATAGCTTCTACTTATTTTCTCTAAGAAAGTTTTCTACACAAACATAGCAATAGTTAAATGATACAATTTTGTGGTAAATAAATATAAGAGTATGGATGTGTAAGTATAAATTATAAAGCATAATAATAGTGTATATATGTACACAGGTAATTATGTCTAGAAATGTACCTAAATTTTTGTATGCCTTATTAGAAATTTTCGTCGTCGTTTAGAGTCCGAAACTGATTTTGATGTTTTTTTTTGGAATCGATTAAGTTCACTTTTATATTAGTCTCATAAGATTGAAATAACTGTTTTTACGAAGCATAATTTTTGCGGAAATATTCCGTACCTAACGTACATAAAACTAATAATATAAAAGAAATATTGATCATTGGTAGATACTACCATTCCATTTTCACGTTATTAATAAAAATGTGTTTAAATATTAACTTCATGTCAGATCACATTACATGTACGCCTATGAAAATATTCATATTAAAATACAGATTAATGCCTATTTATCTAACAAAAAATTCTTAAAAATATCTACATCTAAAATAAAGAAGTAATGTATTAAAAAGTTGATATGAAAAAATTCTAATTTGTGAGTGAAATAATAGACGATGGCGCAGCCTTTTCACACCGTTTGAATTAAATATTAAAGAGGACGTTGCGTGCGACAATGCCTGTAATGGAAAAATCTTCTATGGCGGTATCTGACCGTATTTATGAAGCAAGAGAAAATGCAGGGAAATATTTGAAACATTGAAATTTTTTAAGATATTATACATTTTGTAGGAACTAGGAGACATCACCATCATCGTCGTTAGTCAATTTTAGTCAACTGTTGGAAATAATATTTGATGATGCTTCGAACATATCGATCTATCCCTCGATATAACCAATATAGTGCATATAATTATGTATTTTTAGGTTTCTCTCTTTTTTATTTTTCTTTGGTTTCTTCATTGCCAACAGGTAACGTACAATGAAACAAACACATATTTACATTTTATATTATTGGTAACGAATTTTATTGTATAAGTTGATGAGGACTATTTACTGAACTTTTTCAATAAGTACTCTCGATAATAATGGGTTCTGGAATTTATATCATAAATGGCAACATATGAAGAGTGCATGGAGAGAGAGTATCATGGGCGAAACAGTATACTTTTTTATGTCAATTATACTGTTAATGCGGTTAGGCGCGAGGTTACCAGTTTCTATCAGGTGGGCTGTCAACTTATTTATTAATATAAGTTACATAAAAAAATTTAAGATATAAATTTTCGGTACTGAACTTTGCTTGCAATAAGTAAAGACTTACCCAGTTAATTCACATGAGTAAAGTATAGTAACGGTTGTCTAGAGACACGAATACTACAACAGACAAAACTATTGTTGAGTTACTGTGAGATAAACCTTCAGTAACAGATATACATTGGCTAGATTCCCATAGTTAAATTTATTATTTATGAGTATATTATTATTATTATAATCAACCAGCTGATTCTTCGACTTCTTTATTGCTGATTTAATGTAGGGCGTTACTAAACTACCGTTAAAAAGCTGTAAATTTTAAGTCAAGTCACGAGAGAATTCAAAAATTAGTACTGTCACAGGAAAATCTAATAAAGATCGTCATTTCAAATAATTGGGTATGCGTTAGCAACTTCGACCCTACCAAACGAAGCTTTTTCAAATGTCACTTCTATCTGCCATTTCATTAATTATCTGATTGTCAATTAAAACCAAAGACACTTGAACTTTCTATTCGGAAGAGTTAATAGGCAGCTATTTATACGTCAATTTATAGTACTAGTTCTTACCTTTAAGAACAACATAAAAAGAAACACGAATGCATAGACACACTTCACCGCTTGCTAGTCTAATGAGACGTAAACAGACTTTTTAAACAACGTCTTAAGTACAAACCTATTACACCATGAAAAATTTTATATATTTACTAGATTTTTGCTCACTATTTTATGCGAGTGAATTTTAGAGGAAGGAAAACCAATGAAATATACCATTTTTAAATGGCATATTAAGATAGAACATGCATAACTTTATAATTTAGATCTTTAGGAATACAATTGCGAAAATCGTAACTAATTTCATACAGTAGTTTTTGCGTGATGCTAAAATAAATATACAGAAAAATATTCTAAAAACTATTGTTTTGGTTTCTATTGCTCTCATTAGAACAATATTGTATGTACAGGCATCATCTTGTTACAATTTATTATATTAGTAAGTAAGAAAAAATATTCCGAAAAATTTTTACATAATGACACTGGACTATGGCATGTCGTGAATTTTGAACCTCTGTTCTTGTCTGTCGTTGAATAATGTCATTATGGGGCAAACTTTGACACTTCAAAATGGTTCTAGTGATCGATATCGTATCCGTCTTCAAGTCATTCTCGAAAGCAAATCTGGTCACTGGTTTCGCACAGTACCTTCAAATATTGGAATATTTTTAATATTCTAATTTTCTATATCCTTTCGCTTTTGAATATCAGTATCTAACCCACACACATACATCTGTGGCACAGTCTAAAGAAAAGAACTATTTCCTAATCAATTATTCAATAGACAATTTGATCAGATCATATAGTTCTGAATCGACACATTGTTTGAGGATCAGGATATGCTAAAGTCGTTGGAGTACTCGTTTTTTATACTGCATCAGTAGCAAATATTAATAAATTTAGGTACCGTGGATTGTTGAAGAAAGCTAGTAGACTATATTGGAAAACACTAATAATACTATATGCCAAGTCATCTTATCAGAGTTGTAAAAGTAGAGTTTTTATCAAAAAAGAAAGTTTTGTTTTATACAACTTAGAATGGCAAACAAGCTAAGGGCCCACCTGATGGAAAGTGGTAACCGTCGCCTATAGATATGAGCAATATCATGGACATAACAGAGTATACTGTTTCGCCCATGATACCCCCCATGCGTTGCCATTCCTGAGGACTCAGGTGTCATTCCTCTATACCCAGTAAATTCACGCCATATCCCATACTTCAAACCGAAACCAAAATACCCCCCATGCGTTACTATTTCTGAGGACTCAAGTGTTATTTCTCTATGCCCTGTAAAAATACAAATTAAAATAAATTTTCTTAATATAAATAAGACTTCTTCTCTTCTTTAGATTCTTAATATAAATAAAAAAAAAATTATAAGTTGTTTAAGACGACGTTTGTTGAAGACGAATGTATAGAAATGCCTGTTCCGAATTCCAGCTTCACCCCAAGTTACGGGTTGACTTCAGTCAAGCGCGCCGGTCTAACCCGTTTACCCATCACTTACAGGCCACTAACTTATTTTCATGTACGTAGAATAATGCTGTTTGCAATTTGCAACTGAATTTCATAACACCAAGTTTGTTGTTCTAATGTGTAACACCATTTTCACGTTTAGTTATGTTTGAAATGTTTAAATTGTTTCCCATATTCGTAATTGTGAATGAAATATCTTCGTAGTCGATATACATATATAGGTATGCTGTTTGCTTTTTTAAATAAATGAAAATGGTTTTTTTATGTAACTTAAA